CTCAGGAGGCTGAGATCTGAGGATTGCGGTTCAAAGCCAGCCCTGGCAGGAAAGTCCATGAGACTCTTATCTCCAATAAACCACTAGAAAACTGGAAGCGTCACTGTGACTCAAGCCGTAGAGTGCTCGCCTTGAGCTGAAGAGCACAGGGACAGTGTCCAGGCCCAGAGTTCAAGCCCCACAACCAGCAAAAAAAAAAAAAAAAAAAAAGGAAGAACAAAGTTGGCAAGCCATACTCCTTTAGTTGAAGACATAACTCTAAGTCTGGGCATGTACCTCAGTGGTACAGAGCTGGCCTTCCATGCATAAGAGGCCCTGCATTTTGTCCCCATCACCAGAAAACAAACAAAATCCTTCAACCCAACAGTAGTTCAGATGACATGTGGCACTGTCCTAAAATAAACACAGAGACCAATGGGAGAGGTTAGAAAAATCCCTAAATCCTAGCATATAAGGCTGAATGATTTTCAGTAAAGGATTCTAGACTGTTATATGAGGGAAATGACAGTATCTTTAACACATACTATGTAGGAAACTGAATACATGCGTAAGAATGAACTCAAACTCTTGCCTCATTTGTCCTTTGCCAGAGTGCAACATTAATGGCCTCTAGCCCAATTCCCCATAGAATCTTTGTTCCCATCTGAAACCTCATGACTCTGGTCTTCACCATCTGCATGCTTATGAGCATTTTCCTCTCCTGACCTCAGGTCAGCCTCACCCAGGAAGCTCTGCCTGCAGCATTCGAAGCTTTCTCCATCCTGCTTCTCCCACAAGCCATTTCCAAAGGCTTTAACAATCACATGGTCGGTCAGAAATAGCCACAACCAGGACCCCGCTTCCCACTACCATGTTTCTGTTTGTCAGTATTCCATCCCAGAGGGTGTCAGATCCCTGCAGATTTCTCAGTTGGTACTTTGTTACCAATTTTGTTTTTGATAATGCTTGTAGATACCCTATCTGCTCTCCTGGAGTTCTTAATATATTGCTGCTGAGAATCCACTTCATCAGCATACATACTAATTTTCATGATTTTCTCTGGCAAAGGAGTACATTTCTTTTTAGTTCTAAACTGTAGTCTAGTTCATTTCAGTCTGAGTTAATGAGACATTGGGATCCCTGTATTTTAATCCCTATTAGAAGATATATTGTTAAAGCTTCCATCACCTTCCATAATCAGGGAGCACTTGAGGTACATTCCCATACACTACTACACTAGTAGGAGTAATTCCAGTGTTCCTTTCCAGTGTGCACCATTAGATCACCAAATGCCATACATGAAAATTCTTAAACAGTACAAGTTTTCAGTGACAGTGGAATGCAAAAAGCCATCAAGTACTTCAGCCTTTAAGATGTTTATCCTGCATTCCCGCCAGGAATTTATTCATACTCTGAATATCAATCGTTCCAACCTACTATAAAGTGACTGTGTCCCGGTTCACACACATTTTCATTCATTGTGTTTATGGAAGAGTGAGTCCCATTAGATGTGG